GGCTGTCCTGCAAACGAGTTACTTCGCAATACCATAAAGTGCGAAAACAAGATTCAAATACAGGAAAGCGGTAAGTCCCTGATGGGTATCATATAATATTGTATAACTCATTCGACAGTTAGCTTGTACCTCTTATAAAGAGCGAATAGGAAGGAGGTTTAGCTATGTCCTAAGCGCCTGTTTAAATTTAAAGCACAAAGGTCGGGCTCCGAGGTTATGACACCTGCTTCCACTTAAACATAGGATTCACGTGATAAAGATGCATAATCGTATGATGTGTTTCTCACATCTGAGCATGTGAATTCATCTAGACATGCGTAGAATCTGTTTGCCTAATACACCGAGTAAATGGTCGGAAAATCAAAATCCCTTCATATACAAGCTTTACGAAAAACGGAGACACTGCAACTCAACTGACACGGTAACCCAACAAGAAGTGTCAACAGCGGTCACTCGCTGACAAAAATTGTCCACGGCTCCTTCTGATGGCAGGCCCGACCCCGAGCATATGCCAGTACGAATTAACCACCGAAACGAATGAACGAATTGCGAAAAGACTGCTATGATTTCAGGCAAATAAAAAGAAACCCCCGTCACACATCACTTTGTTTAAAATTTCAGATGCAGATGTGACCAAATAAATAAAACAGTTGAAGACTGTTTTGCACACTATCTGGACATCGAAGGGAGTTAGACAGCAATTTACAATTTTCAACTTCTTCCACTAAATGTCAAAACTTTGTCTTCGCTGACCTTGTATTTCTGTAAATAAAGGAGAATAGTCTGTAAAGATTTTAGTCACCCAGTCTCCTGTGTTTCTAAAAAACTAAGCAGAACATTACCGAGTTAGTTAAAATTAGTTGAGCAACAACATATTAGTAGCAAATAAGAAAATCTTATACATTTTTTTGCGTACGTTGCTAGTTATCTTTCAAAAAACATATAAGGAGGATAATTTTAGTTTACCGGATAGCCAATCCTGTCAGAATTATTGCCTATTAGCAGCAGCTTTGCTGCTGGCTTATGAATTACTACCTCGAATCAAAAGTTTACCTGGTGGTCCAACGGGTCCGACAGGCCCATTAATCGGTATCAAACGTCCCGGTTGTCCTGGAGGTCCTGCTGGTCCATCTTTTCCGAGTGCACCCATTTGGCCAGCTGCACCGATCAAGCCAGTTTCTCCTTTCTTGCCATCTACTCCTTTTTCACCCTCAGCGCCTTTCGGGCCCTGAGGCCCCTTTGGACCGGCTTGTCCTGGTGGACCGGGCGGTCCGATCGGGCAAATTATACATGGTTCTTCGTTTTCAATCGCTGATTGCAACACCTCAAAATTTAGCACCTTCATATTCGGCTATAATGAGCATTCTTTTCTTTGCAGTTTTTGTTTC